GTATAAGGCAGTCAGTCATTGAAATTTAGTTAAGTGAGGCCGCACGATGAGTTGCTACAACTCAGGATATAGCAACGATGAACAGCCGCCAAACAGCAAAGCCACACCCGAAAGTTGATCCATATCACACCGGCAACAGTCTGTTCCAAAATGACAGTTTATCTTCCCTTTGGTCAATATGATATTGGACAGAGAACGAACGGCAGAGCTTCCGTTCAACATCTGCAAGAAATGTACACTGACCTTGTGCATGAGCGTTTCGAAAGGCACTGACTGTCACATATTTACACATTAATACAGCGAGTGATTTTGGCCGGTTCGAATCGACATGCCCGGAGGAACTATTGTTTTTATGAAGCACCTGGCCAGACACCCAAACCCATCAGTGCGGCAATTACAACAGAAGTTTGAAAAGTTTTAGACTCTCCGCCCATAAATGACTAACGAACTCTTTTCGTTTTGCATGGAGACCAATATGTAAAACAAATATGGCAATTATGGAAACGTTTTACTTAACAATCGACGGGTATCGCTTCCAATTGCGATAGTATCATTAGGACTAAATGATAGATAATCAGCGTTTCGGCATGATAACAAAATGTGGATAGTCCTCAGATAATCCTCAGTTATGTGTTCCTCAAACAACGAACCGAGGTCCCTCAGTTGACATATGAATATTCATGCTTTTGTGCAAATATATCAAGGGATCCCTTTCCCTCCGGTGTTGTCTCTCTCATAGCAAAGCATGTTTTCTGGTGGTTTGTTGAAGTTCAGTGTAGGATGCAGCAGCTCTTTCATTTATAGTTCGTGATATTTTCAGTACTGTTTTTCCCAAAGCCCTTTGCTGTGCATCTGGCTCAAATCTCTTAAGGTTATGGCTTGTTCAAATGCCCTCTATGCAACTAGGAACAAGAAGATGGTTAACATGCCGTCAAATTCCGTTTCTTTGGTGTCACCATCTTGTCAAAACATATCTTTCTCCATTCTGAGGGTTGACGACAAGATGTGCAATTTCTAGCTTCTACTCTCAGGTCTGTCTGCTGCAAAAGTGAAGGTCTGGAATTGGTGCAGGAACCAGTTCCGACGGACTGAAACCATGGTGCTGTCCGTTACCTGTTGAATTTGTTGGTGATATCTATCCGTGACCAAAACATCACAGATGCTCCGCTTCCCGAATCCTGTGGGTTGAGTGATGGATTGAAAGACATCAACAGTTTTGCAACGTATGACACCATGAATAAATTGCTGAATAATTTTTTACCACAAACGCTCTAGAACAAAACTAAGTAAATAGGTGTAGACTGTAACGACGGTCCAAGCAATACCTTTCACGCAGTGAACGACATGACACAATTAGCCCCAATGGTCAGATATCTTAGTCAGCGGTGGATGTGGAGAGCAGCGAATAAACGAGATTGAGCGGGGTCATCCTTCGTTCTTTCCGGACCCACGGCAAGGACAGGTCAAAAGAATGATTCTCAGGCCTCTGCTATCCGGACAGTAAGACGAATGTTGTTGCGCCGATTAGTTTCACGGTAGTTTAAGTCATGCATCTTTCCGTTACCGTAGGCACAACCGTGTCCTTGCCATTGTTATTCTCTTCTGCCAAATAAAGCATCCTCGAGCACGGTCACGTGTTTGAAATCTAACCAATGGTAATTATTCTTTGCATCTGGCCAGAGTTTGCTCAAAGGTTTCCTTATTCCGCTAGAATGAAGGGAAAGGCATGATTACGCCGTGAGGATTCATAAAATTCATATGTGTATATTACGCCGAGGTACCAAAACCTAGCGTCTGCTAATCAACCCATAACATCACGAATATTTCTGCTTGAATATGTAATAAAGTTAGCGCCGTTGTCATTGTGACTGTTCTCGGGACAGCTGGGCATAAAATGCGAGAGGTAATTGAAATTTTGGGTTTCCTAGAGAGTTACGATTCAGAATATCTGCTGCTGTACAAACGATTTCTGCAATAATTGATGAATGCAATTTTTTCTTACAGCAACGCCATGTATTAAAGCGATCTGCCCAAGCGAAGGATGGACAACCGGGGGAACAACGGCAATAATCATCGGTGATAATTTTTTCGACGGCTTGCAGGTCGTTTTTGGATCGATGATCGTTTGGAGTGAGGTAACGTGCACTTTTCATAAAAATATTTTCGATATGCATATTTTATATGTAAATTTTCTCAGCTTTTGACTCCTCATGCGATTCGTGTCACGACTCCACCAAGACACACGCCAGGGGTGGTCGAAATAACGCTGACATACAAGGCGAAGCAGTTCTGCAGAGGTTCGCCTGGTCGATTCGTCTACGCGTGTAAGTTCCACATCACAGGCTTTACAGTGACTTCTTTAATGATTGCTTTGTAGTTCTGAATGATAAATTAATACACATTTCCCATGTGCAAAATTAACGAAAGTTTATGGCCCATAAACACTGATCTTTCATCTACTATCGGCTTTGTGGCTTCACATGAAAAGGGCATAATTAATAAGTATACTGCATACGCAGTGCTTACTTTTGTTGGCAATGAGTCAATTAAGTTAATTGATTTTCTTAAGGGCTGGTGATAAAGAGAAAATTCGATTCTGAACATTCTCTGCAAAATCTGATCATAAGTGTATCGAATTATATAAAGGTCCGTCACAGTCATTTATCCCTCTCTCCAGGTTTAACTCGAAGGCAAAATTTATCGCATTCTGTTAGGATGATGGGTTGCTGTTTCAACTCAAGTCCTGGCTTCGCAAACGAAAAGAAGGGATGATTTTACTTTCCATATAACAGCCGAATCTTCCCTGATCGATATGGTAGCTATTTAAAAAAAACAGGAACTGCGACCTCTTTTTAAACTCCTTCTAGCTGATCTTGTTCTTTTGCAATTCAGTGCCGTTCTCTTACCTTTGAGAAATATGATGTCGATCATAACAGTTCTTTCATAGCTTAGCAGGATCCACGCTTAGGATTCCTTAGTGAGAAAAGAAGCAGATACATTTCAGGGTTTGAGTAACGTGATAAAGTACAGTTTGGCCATGTTAGCCAGTCGAAGTAAAACATGTAAATGTATTCACCGTTATGAAATATCATATTTTCTTATTATTAATATTATAATTCGAAAGACGCCCGGACTGGTTCACACTATGTGACACAAAAAGCATCCAGAAGATTTGCACTATAGTGTATCGTACGAACTGTGATGGGTGACTTTTCATGCCGCTAGCGCAATGGGACGCCAGTTGATGACAACGTCATCTCTGGTGTGGATCGCGTTACTGAACCGTACATGATATCACAGAAAGTACCAAGATGAAGTTTAGCCCTCTGCAACCTCATTTGACAACTGAACTAAGGCGTTTGCCACTGTATTGGAAAAGGTTCTCCTAGAAAGGCTTTCGAAAAAAAAAAACATCTAGGATACCTATTACAAGAACGACTGTCTGCAGAACATGAGTGTATAATCATATCATCATCTTTTGGTCAAATAACTTCTTCATACTGGACAACAGAAACAAGATGGCAAGAGGCAAAGACAGTATGGTGGTTTCTGTTGTGCATCCTTGCATTGACCATATGGCCAGATCCAAACACGTCAGTCATGTGATTCAACGGGGCATGTAACACGCGATACTTTTGTCAGACTTTCACTCTACCACTTTTTAACAATGTGGTCTATTAACTCGTCAAGATACCAGCCGTCACATGAGGAATACCTCTGAGCAATAAATGACACAAACCAGAAGAGTGGTATTTGGTCAGAACTTCCGTTTCAGTGGTTAAATTTAGGATAAAAAATCTACCCTGCCAGAATTAAGTATACCCTGCTAACTGCTAATGGCATTGGACAGTCAATCGTGCCTTTGCTTGGCACTTCAGAATTTTGTTACTCGTATATCCATTTCCCAGTAACTTCGAAAAAAAGCGTTAAAAACTTATGGCAGGCTGTTTGCTAAAGTGGTTTCCTTCAGCTGAGTCTGAACGAAACATGTCACCGATGCTGAGGGCTCGAGTCTTTCTCTGTATGATGGATCTTGTGGCACTCCAGTGAGGAACGTGACGCATTCAAATAGGTTTCAGTAGGTTAGCAAACATGGCGCTTAGACGGTTGGTTGAAGAAATTGATCGAAATTGTTTAGATTGAATATATTTTCATTCGTTCGTTCGTTTTCATTGCCCTCTTTCCCGCTTAAAACACGTGAACAGCTACTTCAGGAGGCTTCACAGATGGCTTCTGCCCTTTGTCAGTCCAAGTTGCGACAACTGCAACTCTCTATGCCATGAAGCGGTGTGCTCCTCAGTTTGCCTTTATGCCCTTCAGTGACATTCTTCCAAGGCAGTCCATTTGGCAAATGTCTTCTGTGGCCCCTAATCACGTATCCAAACGTCTATCATTCTAGAAACCTTAGACGAACAACTATTTGCTTAGTGGTTTCTCAGTCCAATAGACTAGCATCACACGGATCCTACACGTGTGGAACGTCTTCAAGAAGTAGTTTCAATGTGAGCAGTAAGGATATTGCAAATTGGCTTTAAATCTCCCTTGAGAGGATACAGGAGCGGTTGAATCCGTTGAAACGAACACCAACAACTGATGGGGTATCGTCTCGTCGTTTCAACATGAGAGCATTTCGAGGTACACGACGTGAAAGACACTTAGGAATGAATCACTCGCGCAATTGTAGTTGTCTAAATTGGTAATGTACCCTTTAGGATCTAACGAACGAAAATTTGCTTGTCAGGATTTCTGGCATTGTCTGCCACTAGCAAAATAAGGCAAAAATAGAAAATGGCCCATACGTGCAGCTTCTATTCGATGAATCATTAGATTCGACTAATTTTCGCCAGGGGCCTCAACTTAGACGGAAGTCGATGATCCGTAAATCCTTCCGGTGTCATTCCCTTTGCTTCCATCGTCGACAAATCAGCTTAGTTCGTTAGTTAACCACCGAGGGTACGTCTTTGCCAAGTGGGATCTAGTTCGCAACTCAGAATGTCCCCTGTTGTGTTTCACATGCCTAGATGAGCGTCTTTGTAGTGTTCGTGCCCAACATAGAACTGTTGCACTTTGAACATGGTCTCCATTGAATACATTCCATATCATTTTTTACATCATCATCATTTGCATTACAACTAATCTCTTATCATAAGCCTTTGTGGTAGACAAATACTCCTCGCCATAAACCATGGCGGGTAAAATAGCGGAGTCCAGTAGTTCTTTATTTGCACACATGGGCAGCTTGTCATTCAACAGCGATGGTTTGATGTAATGTCATGTCGCCTTCCCTCTTCTGCTGATCTCGTTGTTCGTGCTGTTATTGGAACCAATTACGTGGCCGAGGTATACGTAACTATCGACCTCTTCTACCTCTTCACCGTCAGTGAAGAAGGTACCTGCGGATCAGTGCTCTTTGCGAATCCATTTCGTCTTAGAAATGTTAATCTTCTTGTCAATGGCGCGTTACTCTTTCTGAAACTACACAATTTTAGTTTGGAGCTTCGCCCGGTTTTTGACGAATATGATGACGTCATCTGCTAATAGCAGATGGACGAGCCGTTTAAATTCGTAGTTAAGACCCACCCCAGTTGAGATAGATAATAATGGATTTAACACTGTCGCGAAAGGCTGATTAGAAATGGTGCCTCCTGACGTAGTCCTCTTCTGATGTATGCAAAACAAAATAAGAAGCATGATGTTCCCTTAAATGCAAATTATAAGAAAAACCTTCACAGCTCAATTACGGGACATAAATGAAAATCTAACATATATTAAATAAATTAAAAAGCCAGGCGATCATATTCGTCACGCGTTGTTTAAAATGACACCCAAAAGCGCCATCTGAACAAAGTTTAAAGCAAGTGTTGTATAGCAGTAGCTAATGGAAAATGCATCCATATTTTTTCAGCCCTCAACGAGCCAACGATCGATTACGGCTTCCAGCGTTTGCAAAAGTTGATCCCTCGGCACCCCGGCGATCCGGATCGTTTGCCAAAGGAAATGATTCTCAAGCGAGCGGCCGACTTGGCCGAAGCACTGTACAGTATGCCCAGAGGGCAGCAGCTTGCTTTACCTCCGCCACGAAGTCCGACTCATCACCTAAACTACACAGCTCCTCACTACTCAACCTATCCAGGGCAGTTCGATGGGACGGGTAAGTGCAGTACATTGTCCTGGTGTACGGTTGCATCGCTTAAAATGGTGAATGACTTGAAAATCGAGGCTACAGTATTCAAATTTGAAGCTGCTCAGTACTGCAAACAATGTACGATGAATTTATAATGTTGATATGATTTGGTCTGACTCGTTGGAGTTTTATCACTGCCGGAATCAGTCCATATCTACTTTGAATTTTATGTAACATAATCCATCTGATCCATTGACATCACACAAAACGCATTGCTAACGGGATAGAGATGAATACAGTAATATTTCATCCGGATCCTTGTGGCAATATGTATGGATGGCGACCCTACGTCAATTCCTGACTCCTTGCAATAAGATTGTTTTCTTTTCGCTGTATATAGTTATCTTAATTCTTGACCAGGTGTCTCTGGCATTTACTACCGTTGCTAAATAAGTAAGCCCTTTCGAGGCTTCTATCCGGTTTGGAGTCTGCCGCATAGAAAAGAGCTGTCTGACGATACAAACGAACAGAACGATGGGGGTCTGCCATGGTTATTTCTCGTTAAAGAAACTGGGTTGCTAAATTATTTCGTTTTGCCGTCTTTTGGTGCTGGACGACACGACATCTCATAGCTACAGACGAATCTGGACAATAGGTTATGGATTGGACCAGAAACCACAGCTCTAAGGATTTCTCTGAAAAACAGAAGGGAACTTGACATTGCATTTTTCGGTTTACACCTTCTACTGATCATTGGGTTGCATACCAGAATGCGTTAAGGTGAATTGTGTGCGTCAAAGGCACTCTCTTGTCGTTCCTCTCTTTGCTTCTGATGTGCCTACGCATGAACACCACGTGGACCGTTTTATTCAAAGTGAACAGCCTGCCATCGATTCTCTATTTTTGCCCGAAACAACGTATCCAACGATGGATTATTGCATATGAAAGTTACAGTTAAGAGAATTATTTTTGGATTCGAACCAGGCATCCTCACAGGTAAAAATCGACCTCTTCTGTCCAGAGTTTAATCTTCATTTTATTCCTTAACTGAAAAAAAATTGAGGCACGATTCAAGCACCGTTCTGTGCTCATCTTTCAGATGTAGGAAGGGGTCAAAAATATAAACTTTGATCTGTCCTACAGGTAACCTACGTTAAGGAGAAGAAAAGAAGGAGGAAACTTTGTAACCGCTGTAATGACGGTCTACTTTACATTTTCACAATCATAGGGCATTTCTAGAACTCTTCCTTCATGAAGTTACTAGTGGGCGGTAATCTCCATTTTCATTTCGTCAGTCAAGAGTGCCCTATCTTAAGTACACTACAGTTGCTGCGTGACAGCCGCCGTAGAGTCTCATTTTCTTCACTCAGAGTGGTACTCATTTACCAAATTGTGAAGGAAAAAAAGGTGAATGACCTTGACGGAGACTCGAGCCCGGTAACTCTCGGTTCTGGGTCAGCACTGCACTGAGAAACCGGTTCAAAGAGGCCTGCAATAAGTTGTTTGCTCAAGAGAATTCGTTGTCAAGCAAAGATTGCCTTATGCCGGAATCAAATCCGGCACCTCTGGAGTTCAAAAGCACTGTGTCATAACGGCATCATCAGGGAGGCCACCTTAGATTGACGATGTCCAGCATGCAGCAGGTCATTCCTCGGAATACTTTAAGTATTAATTGCGTCGACAGAGAACACATTCCGTGCGGAGAGGCGATCTGTTTCTAATAGATCCTGCCACTTCTAAACTGGCACCTTCTTTTTTATGCCCCATGGTCAGCTCCCATATGTGAAAAGTTCTTTTCACCTCTTTGATCTTTGGTACCATTTGATTTGACCGCAAAATGGTTGAGCTCGTAACTCCTCGGTGTGTGTCTTCAAAGTAACGTAATAGTAGCACTACCTCTGTTGGTAATTAATCATGTATATAATTCGATAACTGAAATATGAATTTTTTTTATCTACTGCCATTTTCAGACTACACCCGCAGTCAAAGTTCAGGCATCTCTCCGCGGTGCTACGGATCGGTCGGTTCGACGAATCACGTGGCGAACAGTTCAGTATACCAGAGTGCAGCCGGATACCCGCACAGCGCCGTTGCGCCGTCACCAAGCTTTTTAAATGGTCCAGCAAGTATAAATCCATCGAACGATGGACTTTGGAACTATTGGCTAACCCCGTGGTTTTAGCTCTGACCGGCATGAGCAGCATCACGCCATTCGCCAGCATGAACCCGTTCGCCCTGCCGTCGACGTGCACATCGAACGCGTACACGAATATCATGACGTCACCAAAATGACCACCACCAGCTGTCCCCCTGTATTATGGAACCTTTGGCTGTGGCGTGTTCGCCAGAGCCGCTACGTCGATGCCTCGGTTCTTCAAGAGTGCGCGCAAACGCAGCGGGACGTGCTGCGTTGACTGACTGACCCTGAGCCAGTGGACAGTGGACGATGGCGACACACGTGTGGTGACTGAACACGTACCTTAAAGAACTATTCTGCCACGTTTGTCCAACGCTGTGGCTAATTGTTGGTTTCCTGAATATTTATGCATCGTTGTTCTATATTTTCACCAATCTCCCGTTGTACACGTTTGCTTACTCTGTTGTTGATTAATCTTCGCATTCCGGCTGAAGGCACGTCACGTCAGATTACACGCACTCAATCACATCGAACCTCATTAATATTGCAAGTTCACTAAAACTTGCTTATGACGCAATACGAGAGATCATGAATCATAGCTTCATAAATTTTTGAACATCAACCGTCACAAGTTCTTATAGAAATGATAATCTGAGTGGGACGAAATGAAAGAGGGTGATAAAGGTTGATTGGGACAGATGCATGAAATGATGCGGATATGAAAGACATAAAGAAAAATATTAATCAACATAGAAGTGACCAGATTCAGAATTACAAAACACCTGCCGACTTCTGTCCTAACATAAGTGATAGAATATCTTGTGAAGTTTATTTTCATCTATGTCTTAAAGTCAAAGTTATCGCATCAACAAATGATAACTTTAGACGGACAAATCCTCTACTTCTTGATCTGACATTTGAAATCTGAATCCCCTTCCATTTGAACCTGAATCTGAATTCAATATATGAAAACGAATAGCAAAGGAATTTACAAAATTTTAGCAAATACAGTAAAAGCGAAATTACAGTCGACAAGAATTGAAAAATTGCGCAACAGCCAGTTGTATAAAAGCATGACTCTTGAAGTGCACTATAAACCTTGTAGAGACAGGGGAAATGCTAAGAGTGAGTTGAGGCATAGAAGTAGGGAGTTAATAGAAAAATTACATTAGAGAGCTTCAGATTGAACATAGATTTAAAGAACTTGTATCCATTCTTCTCTTGTTTAAATTTCCTAGGCTTCCTTACTAAGGTGCACAATTGTCTCATTTTTACAGTCAAGAATCGCAATTTGTTTTAATTCTCTACTGTTTTATCACCAGTAGCTTTGGTCGTGACACAACATTCTCTTTTATTGTGGCAATTTGGTTACCTGCACAGAAGCCTTGATTAAAGACATTTCACAGCTGAAGGATACAACAAGCAGTTGGACAATAAAGTACAGAAAGATTTCAAAACACGAACGATGCGTAGAATAAAATCAAAGAGGTAAAACTTTTGATCCTTGACCCATTGTGTTAGTTGTTTGAATATGATTCATGGCTCAGAACACCAACACAACAGAGGTAGAACAGTTTATTTCCCATGCGTTTCAATGCATAGACCGCATTATCATCAAGGCTGGACAACTCTACCACAAGATATTGTATTTGATGCCCTGAACAATGAATCATTCAAACAGCTGTTTATAAAGTTAATGGAACTTTATAAGAATGGATCAACGGTGAGGGTGGTTGTCTGAGAGAGAGGTTGAAATTAGAGAAGGAAACCCGAAGGAGGTTTCCAAGAGGAACAGATGGGAAATAACTGCTGTCGTTGTTGCTCATCCTTCCTGTACTCGGCGAAATATGCAGGAATTCTATAATACACATACCGATCCCATTCTTCACAGTTAAGAATGCCGATATCTTTACTACTGAAGTTATGTTTGCATTCCAAATGATGCGTTGTAATCGCGGAATCTTCTGAATGATTACTCGTATTGGAATCGTTATTTCTCATATTCGTCTCATACTTTGAGGGTCCTGTTTATTTTGCCAATGCAAATTCTGTCATGATTTCCACAGGCTGTCTCATGAACAATATTATGTTTGCAATTGTCAAATATTGAATTTAAATTCTTGTATAGAACCTGTCCCAGCGGGTTCAGAGGCCTTATTTTTGAAGACAATATTAAAGTGCAAGAGAGAATCCAGAATGCACATGCACGCTGACTGTTTAAGTTGACTAATTTACCATTAAAATTTTGATTTCAGTCAAAGAAATGTGTATGTATATCAGTATGAGAATTTTTCGACAGTTAATTTTGATATTCATCATTCCTTTAAACACATACAATCAAATATTGAAAACAGCATTGAAAGGGCACATATGGCACAATGTAGGGAATATTTCAGGCAAACAGAGTCAAGAGAAAAAAATACAAGAGATCAGCCGTGCAGCTTCTCAAACGTGTTTATGTACCCTGATCGCGGATTAATGAGCCATATGGGGAAGAGAGGCAAAATCGATCTTATGTGAACAGTTGTTCGTCAAAACATTCGCTCAGAGTGACTCCTTAATCTTATCAGATAACCTTCTCAGTTTCAAATCTGCTTAGTCTCTCCGTTGCACGACGTTCTTTTCAGAATCGTCGTGCAAGACTCTGCTTACAACGCTTAGCAAATACATTTCTAAAATTCCTTATGAGATCGCATTTTCTGCGTACGAATAAAATTTTCTCTTTCCATAATATTTTTATAACCTGAGAGCTACTGTTTCTACAGTAATTGACTATTTTCCTGCTATACTAGAGATAAAATATTCGCCTTCTAATCAAGTACAGTAAACAATCTTCAAACAAAAATTGCCGATTCGCAGGAAATTTGTCAAGTGGCAAAGAACGACAATTGCAGTGTTCCTAATCTATCACACAAAAAAGCAATTTCTCAATCGGTATATTTCCAGGCATTTATTTCGCATAGATGATGCGCTTTGAAGATTGGAATTCAGCGACGATTCTTTCGGCAATTAAATTATCGCCATCATCTATATAATGCAAGCAAATACAGGAGGATATCGAGACGTGCACAATGCGACATATACGTCTAATATATCCACTGATGTTTCTAGAAAGCCCTCCCAAATGACAGAGGGCAATTATGGCAATGTCAGGAATTCAGGGCAACCATTTGAATTTGACCATAAATTGGCTAGAAGGGCATATCTGTCCTGGGTACAAATGACAGCAAACAATGAAATGGCGAAGGGCACAAGACAGGGATAAACTTTAAAAGTCGATATTTGGCGAAGATAACTATAGTTGATAGGGTCGGATAAGAGTCATGTGAGACCTGCGATAGGATACAAGAGAATCAATGTGTGAAGCATTTCAAACTAATCCAAAATTGCTCATTGATAAACGTAACTAGACATACTTTTTTCAGTTTAAAGTATACTAAACATCTCTGTTGCATGAGATTGCACTGATTCTGCAACGCTCTTTTTTCCCCCATACGTCCAACATATTATACAAAGCGTTATCTTTAGCGTAAGAATAATACTTTCTCTTACCTCAGTGTTTGTATAACCTGAAAATTGCTGTTCATACAGTATAGGACAAACTTTTCTACTCTACTACAGAAAAGTGTTGCAAATCTCGACGCACCCGCACATATACCTACATTTAACAACAGATTACTAAATTTAGTCGAAGACACAACTGTATACATGTGCAAACATGAATTCACATACTCAAAGGGCATCATTTCTGAAAAAAATTTGTCGAGAAATATCCCGATTGCGCGATCACTATTTTGTATGATAGTCGAGCAGTTGTGCGATTCTCAATATTCGTCAAATAATGCATTTCTTGTGAATCGACGATATAAATGTTTAAAAATGTTTACTGTACCTGAATAAAAAAAGAAAACTATATGTATCACAGCAGGAAAATTTGTTGGAAACTGTGGGACAGTAGTTTTTAGGTTAGGAAAATACAGAGGGCAGACAAAAATTAATTCGTAAGCAGAAAATCTGAATGACACAGAATATTTGACATACGACTGCTAAGCGTCGGAAGAAGAGGTTGGAAGAGATTCTCGAAGAATGAAAGAGATATTTAGCATATTTAAAAATGACGAGACTACATATATTAGTGTTTTTCGTCTAGCAATTTACAATGAGCTAAAACTTTTCGCAATACATTCATTTTTTGCCTGATGCAGGACCAACATGTTTTACATCTGTCCTGATCAGCAATATCTACTTTGGAAATATGCCAAATTTCAATGTTTGTCTTGCTCTGTCTGCTTCACTTATGCATTGTTGCTTAAATTAGAGTCTATTAGACAGTTGTCGTTATAAGCAAATCATAATAAACTTCCAATCGTTATCCTTCCTGAACTCCCCACATGGCGATAAAAAAACTGTACCCCTTAGGACCGCTTTGTAAAAACATCAAAGAACCCCTTGTATGTATATTTCGCATGGTACACGTCTCAAAACCCTGCTATTATTACCTTCACTAAGTGGTTCATGGCGAGAATTTAATTGCCGAAACAATCATTTATATAACCAAAAATTACGATCTCCAAAACGTATTTATTTCTGCGAAATATTTGGAGTGGAATACTCGGGTCGATCGATCATTATTTTGTAAATAATTGAGCAATTGTTCGATTTAGAATTCAAAAATTTAGATGCTTCCTGCGAATAGGCGAATTTTGTATGAAATAATGCTCACTGTACGTTAACAGAAAAGGAATGCTTTATCTCGAGTACAGGAGAACAATATGACCAATACTGAAGAAACAAGGAATTTCTAAAGGTTATTGGAATGTTGAAAGGGAGAGAAAATTTCATTTATCTGCAGAATCTGCCGACTCATAAAATTTCGAACAAATGGCTGCTAAGCGTCTGAAAAAGAACCTTAAAACTTCATGCTCGCAAGAATCTCCCGCCACACATGTTTAGCATATCACAGACTTTACGCGCTAGCAATTTAGGATTAGGTTAAAACTTTTCCACAGATTGTTTTTTATATTATGGCAAGTATAGTATACTTTACATTTGATTCTATCAGCAATAGTAGCCTTGCTTAACATTGAATTATAAGCTTCATTTTACTTTGGGTCGTTCGGTTTCCATGTTTACTGTTCTCAGATTCCACGAGAGC